TGTGTGTGCATGGTTGCATGGTTGTGTATGTGCATGGTTGTGTGTGTGTGCATGGTTGTGTGGGTGTGGGCACACATGTACACGTGGAGATAAAGGATAACCACAGGCATCATTCCTCTTTTTGTTTGAGACTGGCATTCTCTTTGGCTTGGAAATTGGTCAAGTATGTTAGACTGGACAGCGAGTGAGCGTCCAGGAGTCTGTCTGTCTCCATCTTCCATCTCACCATTGCTGGGATTCCAGGTGCATATCACTACTCCTAGATTTTTGTGGGGGTTCTGGGGATCCGGACTCTGGACCTCATGCTTGTAAGATAAGCACTTTACTGACTGATCTCTCCCTCTCCCTCTCCCTCTCCCTCTCCCTCTCCCTCTCCCTTTCCCTCTCTCTCTCTCTCTCTCTCTCTCTCTCTCTCTCTCTCTCTCTCTGTGTGTGTGTCTCTGTCTCTATCTCTGTCTCTCTCTCTCTCTCTCTGATTTTGTTATGTGCTATGCCCTAGCTGGCCTTGTACTTGCAACTCTCCTGTATCAACTTCCCGGGTGTTGGCAGTGTGGGCATGTCCCACCACACACCCCTCAAATATCCCACTTTTATTTTATTTTATTTTGATGCTGGGATAGAACCCAGGTCTTGATGGCCTCACTCAGGCCAGGACAGTGCCCTACCGTTATGCTCCACCTCAGCACCCCTCCCCCCTTCATTTAGTTTTCAATCACTCACTACAACAAAAATAACCCACACAGGAAACCAGCAGTTTGCCAGTACACAAAAACAAAACGGAGTGAACTAAGATTTTAAAAGTAATTCTGAAAGTTATAGTGTTGGCATTTGTCTAGGCTCCACCCACAGTTACCTGACTCACTATAGAAGGGGCTGCTTGCCCCCTCCTCCTTCTCTTGCTCTATTCTCTTGCTTTCTTCTCTTCTCCTCTTGTTCTTGCCCCTTACCCTCTTCCCCCTCTCTCCCCATCCCCCCTTCTCTCCCTCTCCCTTTCTCTGTCTCTACTCCCTCAACTCCCCTCTCCATACCCTAAATAAACTCTATTCTATACTGTTGTGGTGTGGCTGGTATACCTGAAGTGTGTGTGTGTGTGTGTGTGTGTGTGTGTGTGTGTGCGTGTGTGTGTGCGTGTGTACACTTGATGGGAAGGGGAAGGAAGGGACACCTCAACATGGGCCTGCAGAGGCACCCCCCCTGCTCCACACCATACTGAGCCTCCACCAAACATATTCCTGGCTTATTTTTCTTTTTATAAAACACAACACACAGGGCTGGGGCAGTCCTAGCTGCAGTTCCTGGAGGTTAGGACATTGAAATGTCCACAGCCTCTGGCTGCCCTGTTGTATCTTTCTCTTCCCAGGCTCTCTGGCAAGTGCCAGTGTGCCCTGTCCTGTAAGAGGCAGGATGCTTTCTCCACTTTGTTCTTAGTGTTACAGCTCTGGTGACGGTTCTCACGAGTCACTGCATACCTATGCCACGTAAGGAGAACTCAGCCAACGACATGATGGCTCAAAGAACTGGTTGTGAGATGAACATTGTGAGCGAGTGAAGCCTTCAAGGGCTTTAATGTTGGGTGTGTACTTCTGCCGTAGGAAATGTTCAGAAAGCTATGAAGCAAACCTTACCTTTGCCAGGGATGGAGACCAGGGTGCTGGTGAGGGCCAGGCTTGCGTCATCTCCCAGAGTGAAATTCACACAGTATGTGCCGGACCCGTTGAAGGCTCTTCTCACAGACAGCAGGCATAGCTCTCCCACAGCCACAGGGCTGCAGACCGTGTTCTGGGTGGTCTGGCAGGTGGGGTCGGAGATGATCGTACAGGCCTCCATGGGGGTGCTGGGATGAGGGAGAGGGGTGAGGGCACACAGATCCAATGAGAGAGAAAAGAATGCAAAGTTGGGGGTGGTGCTGTCTTTGAAACAGGGTTTTACACTGTTGGCCTGGAGCCTATGGTGGTCTTCCTTCCTCAGCTTCTTGAGTGCTAGGATTATAGACACAGGACGCTACACACGCCTCTGTCATAACAGTTTTAAACAGGGCTTCTACTTTTCTTTCATTTCCTTTCCTCTTCTCCCTGCCTGCCTTTCCTCTTTTTTTTTTTTTTTTTTGACAGGGTCTCAATGTAGCCAGGTTGGCTTTAAACTCACCATGTAATTAAAGATGGCCCCGATTGTCCAGACTCTACATTTAGGGTTTTGTGATTACAGGCATGCAATCCATGCCTGTTTTATGAAGTGATGGGGATCCAATTCAGGGCTTCTCATATGCTAGGATCCCCTCCACCCTGCCCCCTCTTTATAGTTTCTTTTGAGAGAAAGGTTCCTGCTGTACTTAGCCCCTCATGACTACTGGGATTACAGACATGAGCCTGTCTCCTACAACCAGCTCATCGGAGGTTTCTAATACGTAGGCGTCTGACTCACCTTCAAAAGGATGACTAGTGGTCAAGCCCTTTATTCAGACTTGGGGCCCTCACTTAGCCCTTCCTATGGCACAAGGCTGTACTTACGCCCCTTTGCAGGTCACAGTGAAGTCCATCAGTGAGTTGTCAGGCTGCAGTGTGGGCACTGGGACATCTGCTATCTGGATGATGTTGACTTCCAGGATCCCCTCTAGCAAAATGGCCACCATAGAGAAATGTCAAAATGCAACAGAAACTAAAGGGAACCATTCTGCCACAGATTGTTTGCTGGGTTGAAATCCCCAGCTAAGTTATGGTGTGAGAGGGTAAAACCTTTATTGGGGATGTAGTCAGTGTCCTTATGGAGAGACCTCAGGGAGCCTCCTTGTCTCTTCTGCACTGCAAAGGGGTGGCCTTTCATGAACCAGGGAGTGCTCCTTGCCAGACACCAGATCTGACATTCGTCCTCCAGGACAGGAAGCCATGAACCCCAGTTGTAGGCCCCCAAACCTACAAACTCTGTTACTTCTGTAACTTCTTAACTAACTACAGAATGTCCCTTAACAAAGGAGAAGGAAAAAAGAATAGAGACGCCTTCTTGCCAACCTTGGACACCTTCTTGCATCACTTTAGACAGGACAAGGGACTCTGCTCCTTTATCTCCATCCTGCTAGTGTCAGCTAAGTGAGTGGGTGGCTTTGAAGATTCTAGCATCCTTCCCCATTGCTCTTCAGCCTTACCTACAATTGTGATGGTGGCTCTGAAGTAACCATATCTGTTTATTAGGCAGTTTTCACTGGGAATGTCACTCAGCTCCATGGATTTGTAACCAGTAGGCACTAGAAAGTTTGAATAATAAAAGTTTAAAGTAAATAAGGATGAAGGATAGACGTTAACATAATACAACAAAAACCAGACACTTGTTCATCGTTCTATATTATTTTTGCTTTGGTGGTTTTTGGTGTTTGTTTCATCTTTTTCCAGAAAGGGACATATGTAGCCCAGCCTGGTTTAAACTTCCTATATAGCTCAGGCTGGCCCTAACTCTGGATCTTATTGCCCCCAGTTCCCAAGTCCTGGGATTGTAGATGTGCAGTCTCGTGCCCAAGGCACCATCTGCTCCCAGCTCCATCTTCTTTTTAGAAGCATCAAGAAGCCAGGTGTGGTGACTCATGCTTTAATTCCAGCCAGAGTCAGGGGTAAGTGGACCTCTGTGAGTTCAAGGCCAGCCTGTTGGACATTCCAAGATCCAGGACAGCCAGGGCTAAAAAACCACAAAACCCAACCCATCCCAACCCAACCCAACCTAAGCATCAATAAAACCCAAAAACCCAACCCAACCCAACCCAACCCAACCCAACCCAACCCAACCCCAAAACCCAACCCAACCAAACCAAGCATCCAGAATTCTAGAGCTTTTTGATTAAGGCAGAAATTTGTGTAATGTAAATGTGTAGATTCTTGTAGATGTAAAAGTATTATGTAGGGATTGTGGCCATTTAATTCCATAAGTTACTATAGGGAGTGTAGGAAATAGAGGAAGCTTTGAATGAGTGAAGTCCTGAGAGAATGTGTCCTGTTGATGTGGGCACAGTCATATCAAGGACCTCAAAGCCTCAGGTTAATGACAAATGCAAAGCCTTCCTCAGGGAGAGACCAGGAGACATGCCAAAGCCTTCTTCAGGGCTCCAAGTGCAAGAGTTGATGGTATGTGCAGAAACCGTCCACCATAGCTTTCTCTCCACAGATGTTTACAGCCTGAAGCCTGCGCTCCTGCTCCTGCAGAGATAGCTCCTCCTGAGATTAGCCAAACCAGCCTCCTTGATCAGCTGTATGCATAGAGCCTGCCTCCCTCTTCATCATCTCTATAAAACAAACATGTGCTTCTGGGGATGCTAAGCCCTCTCCGCCCGAGAACCCAGATCCCAGCTTTCTATCTGGGTATTCCTCTGTTGGTCTTTTCTTTATCCTCTCTACATCTAGTCAGGTCAAGTCCCTGGAAGCCCAGGAAGGAGTCAGCAGTAAATAACCTTTTCCTTTCAGGTGGAGCTGGTGATAGGAACCAGGCCTTGTTGCCCACCAGGCAAGCATTTCACTGCTGAGCCACACCCAAGCTCAAAGCACGACCCCAGATGGTTTTAAATTTCAGGATGCAAATGAAGTGGAAGCCTTACTAGAATATATGGAGAGGCCACAGTAGAGAATCCCTGGTCACTGGGGTGCAGCTGTTCTGGCCTACGCTAGCACCACCTGTTTGCCCACACATCATTAAACTGGCTCTTGCCTCTGTCTGCTCATCAACAAAATAGAACAGTATCACTGTCCTCCCACGTCGAACCACTTAAACAAAAGTGAGACAAGGCATACACATCCTACTTCTCTGCCAGGTGTGGATCCCAATACCCAGGAGGCTGAGGCAGAGGGATTGCTGTGAGTTTGAGACTGACCTGAGCTATATAATAAATTGACATATGAGAGCTTGTTTTTAACAACACAACAAAACTTACTGGGGTGTTTTGAATGAGACGAAACTCATGAGCCATAAGTCACAAGGCATTTGAATCCTTAGCTGCTTGGGAAGAATTAGGAAGTGTGGCCATGTTGAGAGGTGTGTCGTTGGAGGTGGGCTTAAGATTTCCACAGCTTCCTGTCATTCCCAGAGTACTCTCTGCTTCCTGTTTGTGGTTGGGAAGTGAGTTCCCAACTGGCCTTAACTCCAGCTGCTGCTATGCTTCTCACCACGATAGTGCTGGCCTCCTGTCCCTCTGGACCTGTAATCCCCAGATAACCCCTTTCTTCTATAAATTGCCTTGGTCATGGTATTTTATTACAGCAGTGGAAAAGTAACCATAACACCAACCAACTAACGTATAAATAACAACCATACAATAATACAACTCAGTTAAACACAGAACTCTGGCAAGTCTAGCTGAATTGGAAAGTTTTGGTTCAATGAGAAACCCTGTCTCCTACTAAGGTGGCAGATGATTGAGGAAGACACCTGTCACTGAGCTCTGGCTGCTGTGTGCAGACATAAAGATGTGACTGAAGCAGTTGTGAATATAATTGAGCAAAGACTCTAATGCCTCCCGCATTATAATTTAAAACATGTTGCTGTAGCTTTAGGATTCAAAGTCCGAAAGAAAAACATAACAATCCCCGTCTTTATCTTCTCTTTAATTCCATAGGCACTGAATGGAGGGGGAGAGTCAAAGGTTGTTTTTTTTCCTGCATAGCCCAGGCTGACCTGGAACTCATAGTGATCTGCCTGCCTCTGCCTCCTAAGTCCTAAGACTGAAGGTGCACCCAAGGCTCCGTTTGGGAGCCAAAGTTTAAAAAAGATCCTCATCTTAAAAAAAAAAAAATAGAGCCGAAAAGATAGGTCAATGGCTAAAGCACTGGCTGCTCTTTCAGAGGACCTAGGTTCATTTCCCACACCCATACGGTGGTTCACACTGTGTAGAACTCCAGTCCCAAGGGATCTGATGTCCTCTTCTAGCCTGCTTGGGAATCAGGGACATATGTGGTGTACAGACAAAGCAACCATACATGTAAAATAAGTAGATTAGTTAAAAAAAAAAGTTTAGAGGCTAAATAAAGAGTAGGTGTAGTGCTGCATATTTGTAATCCAGGGGCTGAGGCAGAGAGGGATTACAAGTTCCTGGGGCTATATAATAAGATCTTTTCTCAAAACAGAAGAAAAAAGGAGACGAGGAAGAGGCAGAAAGAAGGAAGGGATAGAAGGGGGGAAAGGATAGAAGGAGGGAGAGGAGGAAACAAAAACATCCTTTCTTAAGTACATGACATGTAAGGACGAAGCCAGCTAGCAACTCTCTCTGGTTTCTCAAAACTTCCTGAGGGTGACATGTCCATGCCTGGTGGAATTCTCAGGATGATGGCACTCTGGGAAATGCAGTTCCATGAAGCCCAGAGAGGTCCTAACGCTGTGCTAGATTCTCATGCAGTTGTTCATTAACAGGACAGTCTGGGGAACATCCCTGGCTTTCTCAGGGGCCCTGTGGAGCTGATTACAGAGTCTGGTCAGTCGTTCCTGGTGGAGTCTGCAGCAGGAGGCTAGTTTGTGCAAAGCTGCTAAGAATCCCAGCGCTCCCCCTGACAGCTGCAGGGTTCCTTCGTTTAAACTCCTGGAGGAGCAGTCTTTAGCTGTCAACCTGAGTATAGAGCTACAACTCTGCTGTATTTTAAAGTAAAACTTCTTTAGGAAGAAGACAATGAGAGTCCGTTGCCCTGCTTTTGGTAGAATACTATACAAACATGTATGAGATTTTATAGATGTCAGATCTGTAATGTCAAGATTTGTCAAAGGACCAATGGTAGATAAGGGAGTTGGTTCTGAGAGGTGTAGCTCAGTTCAGAGAGTACCTGCCCATCACTTGAAAAGCCCCGTGTTCGGTTCCCAACTGTGGTGCTGTGTGTCTGTAATCCCAGCAATCAGAAGGTGAAGGCTAGAGGGCCACCAGATGCTAATATTGAGTTTGAAACTAGTCTGGACTACATAAGAGGCTGGGGGAAGAGAAATGCAGGAGGAAGGAGGAATGAAGGGAGGGAGGGGGTTTAGAGTCATACTAAGCTGTCTGTCTTGACTAGCCCAGTACTGCTACATTTGTGACTGGACTTGGGATGCTTAGTTGCTCACCAGCAAGCTTGTGGGTGTTTATTAGTGACCCTGTGACACTGTGCTGACACCCAGTCAAGTGTGATAGATTTCCATGCACAGTAACTGAAAGTTCTCTGTGGTTATTTAGCAAAGAGGGGTAAATCCCAGAACAAAGCATATGACGTGAACCTACCTACATAAAATCCAAAATGACAAAACACATAGGATGTTTGTAAACACATAGAAAATGATCTGGACAGAAACACAGCCAGCAATGTCAGGATGAACTCGGGAAGAGAACACACGGGGGCTTTCCCTTCTATGTTAGGCTTCTTCGCGGTTAGTTTGAATTTTTAGGAAGAAATGTGAATTAATTATTTTACAAATAAAAACATTCTAAAGAGGAATAAAATTTGGCAATGTAAACCTAACAGCATCAGGAAATCAATACAAGTTTGAGGCTACGCTAGTTTACATATCAAGTTCAAAGCCAGCGGGGTAACATAGTATCTCAAGCTGATTGACTAAGTTACTGAATAACTAAGTAACTAGTGAAGACCACCACCCAGGCTGCCACCACCACCACCATCACACTGCTCAGGAAATACTCACTTAAAGAGGGGCTAGGTGTTGACAACGTGGGCGAAGGCGAAGGCGAGGGCGAGGGCGAGGGCGAAGGCGTGGGTGAGGGCGAAGGCGTGGGCGAGGGCGAAGGCGAGGGGCTAGGTGTTGACAATGTGGGCGAAGGCGTGGGCGAAGGCGAAGGCGAAGGCGAGGGCGAAGGCGAAGGGCATGGTCCGGGCACTGCAGTTTGCACGGTGAGGTTAAGGTTGAAGGTTCCATTGAGTACATATGTGTGATTCAAAGTGTGATTGTTGGAGAAAACCAGGCCAGTGTTGTCCCCAAAGTTCCACTTGTAGGAAATGGCAGAGTCGTTGAGGAAGTGGCTGGGATCATGAATGAGGACATCGAAGACAATGGGGAGGTCTCTGAGGAAGGTTTCATCAGACGAGTTCCTGTCATTCTTCTGGGACATGGTCACGAATATAGGGATCTGATCTAGAAGATACAACACAAGAAACAAAGGAAACACATAGCTAGCCTGGGAGGGAGCGCTGCAGAGATGCTTTCTGCCTGAAGACTAAAACTAGACCTTCTCATAGGTAAGCTTTAGAGTTTCCCAGCTGGCAACAGGTGGGGCAGCACAGAATTAAACAGTTAAGCTCTGCTGGAGGCCAGATGAGTCTTCCTCTAACCCAGAACACTGGGTGCTGATGCTTTCCTGATCTGCTGATGTCAAGGGGCTAAACGCCGCCCTCCACTGCTGTGGAGTTCACACCACGCACCTGTTATCACGTACACGTCTTTCACTTTCGTGATGGGGATGTATGCCCGGCCATATCTTCGAAAGACAGTCACTTCCATGACCTGAGGGCCAGCTGTCAAGTTGGCTGTGTTTATAGAAACTCGTGCTGAACACCGACCCAGTTTTTGGAAATACTGACCTGTGGAAGGATGGACATTTGGGGTTACTGGTAACATCTTATGATCTTTAGGCAAAGGTGTTTCTGAAAGGCTAGTTAAAGGCTGCCCTGTGGACAGAACAGGTTGGAAGCTCCGGAAAGTGAGCTCGTGCCTGCCTTTCTGCAAAACCAGATGAAGCAACTTTACGGTTGCGCTCAGGTAACAACTGCACACAGCTGGTTAAAGTGAAAGAACTCTAGAGAGGGACAATCCAGCCAGTTCCTAATTTATCGATGAACACTATTAGGGTTAAAGGATTTGCACATGAAACAGATAATCTTCCCTTAGGACTCATTTAATGTCACGGCGAGGTATCTGGGAAAGTTTTACTAGGTTCTGTATTCACCAATGTGCCTTATTTTTGTAACAAATTAAAAGCAATTGATGAAGTACATGGATATGGCTCTGGTTAGGTTTTTCTGGGAGATTGGCATTCCACTTCCTAGAAGGACTTGTACCCAAACCCAGCAAGACATGAAAGAGCAACAGCGGATCACAGCTAGGAATCACAGATACGAAGGGGATGGACAGCCCACAGGAACACATCTGAGTCACTCCGCTTCCCTCTGCAGCCATCCCTGATGCTCATAGGTGCTGGCCGCAGCCATGGCAGGTCAATGAGTGATAACGCTGGGAGAACTGATCAACAGCGTCACCATGGCACCAGGAAAGCCGGTTTCAGGCAGGCATGATACCTGGCCTGTTCTGAGCTTTGTTCAGTGGGCATGCTTTGTTAATGCTGAAGTAAAGTGCACTCTCTGAGAAAGGACAAAACTTTGAGGATTCCAGGAGTTGCTCAATTGGAGCAGATTCTGAAAATTCAGCCTCAGTTGGTAAGTAGTGGTGGTGGTGGTTGTGTGTGTGTATGTGTGGTGTGTGATGTGTATGTGGAAGTGCGTGGTATCTGTGGTATGTGTATGGTGTGTGTGTGTGTCTGGTGTATGTTTTTCTGACTGTATACATGCTGGGCATGTATTCTCCCACTCATCCATAAACGTGGCCCTCTGGTAATATACCGAGAATTCAGCAGCCTTGTTAATAATGACCTAATTTTGTTCCTCTTAAAAGAACACTTCACTAATAACACAGCAAAGTGAAACCTTTTATGATTTTTACAAAACAGAGGGTAGACCATCACAGAGAAGAACAGTATCTATATTGTTCTAGATCTACACATTGATATATTATCCAGTCATTAAAAATGTAAAGAATTTAAAATAATATAGACAGATGCTATGATAACAAAATAAAAATGTGTGCCCATTATTATCTTATTATTATTATTAGGGCTGGAGAGATGGCTGAAGGGTTTAGAGCACTGACTGCTCTTCCAGAGGTCCTGAGTTCAATTCCTAGCAACCACATGGTGGCTCACAACTATCTGTAATGGAATCAGATGCTCTCTTCTGGTGTGTCTGAAGACAGTGGCAATATACTCACATATATAAAATAAATAAATCTTTAAAAAATTTAAGAAATATTAATACTGAAAACATCATCATTCAATAGCAATCATGATTGATGCTTGTGAGTGACGTTTAAATTTTGTTTGTGCTCTTCTGTTTCCAAATTTCCCACAGAGAGTTCACTTCTTTAACTAATTCATCTAAGAATACTAATAAATTAATGAATGAACAACCATGTGATGTTCACATACATTTTTTCATAGGACTATGTTAGACTAGTCTTTGTCGTTCAAGAGAGAACCAAATTCTCTCCCTTCTCATTTTATGTCTGTGGTGTCCCGAGGACATGGTGAGGTTAACCAGGATTTCATTTCCCCTCACCGTTCACCGAGTAAGGAGAAGCAACAGAGGGATGGGTGTTACAATTTCAACTAGAGAATAAGAAAGGACAAGGTCAAAATGTGAAAGAAATGTAAAAAGTTAAGAGTTTGTAAAAAACCAAACCAAGCGTGTGAAAGACATAGATGAATTTCCGTTTCTTCCATCCGTGGGGGCGAGGGAAGGGCTTCCTGTCGGGGAACCTGAGGTGCTGGCTTTGGCTGCTGCCATCTTCCCAGTCTTCATCATCTGCCCCTGCGGTCCAGTTGTAGACATACAAGTCAGAAGTCAGCCCCAAATCTAACCAAGAACAAATAGATTAAGTTAGTTTTCTGGCCTCCAAACGACCAACGCTCAGCACCCAAACGCTTCAGTTTCCCAGATCCACTGTAAACGCTGCTGTGGGGCTAACATTTTCATGTTCAGAATCCACCCATTGCATTCGGACGTTTTCCCGTGTATTTGCTGTATGTCAGTAAAATATTATCAGTTTCTAGGAAATTTGGATCTGGAGATTTCACTTAACACATGTATCTTTCTTTTGAGTCTCTGAATCTCTGTGAGGCACTCTGTCCTCGGCTTCTTTCCCTCGCTCACTGGCATCACAGCCAAGTCCTAAGTCCTTCAGCAGAGGACTGCCCTCGGGAGAGTATTCCTTTAGATCACCGCAGCGCCACGCCCACGCCCACCCCAGCAGAGCATTGGCTCACCGACAGTGGCTATGTGTCTCTGCCAAATTCAGATAAAAAGAATCTCCTCCTAGCCCAATAGCCTGCTCTTCACCTCCCTGGACCTTGTCACCCTCTGCTGGCCTCTGAGCGCACTTGCACACACAAACACACATTTACACATAGGTAAAAATAAATCCTAAAAAGAGGATATCTGTCTATGCACAGTTTAACAGATCTAGATAGATATAGAGAAAACTCAAGAGAAACAGACATAGAAAAATGTATAGTTTGGAATTTAGGGGACAGCACTAACCTCTCCAGATATGTGGTATTTTCTGCTTCATTGTCTGTCGTGCAGAACACTCCCTTGGCTTGTGTCACAGAACAGCTCCTTTATCTGGTCACTAGTCATTATTCCTTTTTATTCTCAAAATTTCCCAAATATAGCTAAGAGTCTTTTGAGCTGACGCTTGTATCCTTATGACACAACTCCATAGACCTTCGAGTTCTTTCTCGTTTTCTGTTATAGTTAAGGTGTGATGGCACATGCCTTTAATCCCAGCACCAGCAGACAGAGACAGGCAGATCTCTGTGTTCAAGGCCAGATTGGTCAACAAAGCAAGTTCCAGGACAGCCAGGACAACATAGAGAAACTCTCTCTCACTACCCCCACTCCCTCTAATATCAATTCCAAATATTGGAATTACCAATATATGTTATCAGTCTGGTCAGAATATTTTTTTAAAGTAAGAAGTTGGGCATAATGACACACATCTGTAATCTCAACATTGTGGGGACAGAGGCAGGAGGATCATGTGTTTGAGGCTAGTCTGAGCACCAGGTTAGCCTCAAACGAGCTACAGGAAGATGGGAGGGGAGAGAGAATATGAAATACTAGATTACTACTAATCCCAGTCCATACAGAATTTAGCGTTTTCCTCAAAGGGAGATAAAAAATTAAGAAGGAATGAACACATCAACAGATTTACAAAAGCCTGTACAGTGCAGCTAGCTCACCATTGTGAGTAACCTCAGTGATTATCTGAGTTCTTGAGAGTGTACAATTCTCACAAAATAATGTCCCATGGTGTGTTCGTGCTCTTTTAACGTGGGCAACGAATGCATCTTTTTAAGAGAAGAACAGAATCACAGCCACACATGCAGTATCAGCACCAGCAGGACACTGTTTACTTAAAACACTCATTGACAGAAAGGAACCGATCGGCACACACTCAGATGGGCCTTGCATGTTTTCTGTTTGTTTGTTTTTGTGTTTGTTTATTTGTTTTGTGGCCAAAATAGCTTCGGGTAATACGAGAACCTGGGCATGAGCAATAATACATTCCCTGTCCAGTAGACACAGTACAAGCTGGGTGTGACAATGGAGATATAGGTTGGGTTTTTAAGTGTGTGTGTGTGTGTGTGTGTGTGTGTGTGTGGTGCTGGGGATGGAACCCAAGCCCTACACACTCTAGGCAAGTGTTCATTCACTGAGTTCATCCTATCCCATTGTGTAGCTCCCAGGGCTTATCTGGGAAGAGCCAGAACCAGTGACAGGATGGGGAGTTAGAGGCAGATGTGATCAAAGTCCATGATGTACAGTAGAAGTGTTTTGTATGGTGAATACAGGCTCATGGAAAGGACGTGACCCCGAGGAGGAGGAGGAGGAGGAGGAGGAGGAGGAGGAGGAGGAGGAGGAGGGGGGCTGGAGCTCCAGCAGCAGAGCTGAGCCTTCTTACCGTCTCTGCAGTTCCTCTCATAGATGATGTTGCCATCAGCATCTTCCTTCTGGCATCTGGGGAACACCAGGTTCACCACAAAGGTGATATTAGAACCCACCAAGGCAGGTGAGTCACTGGTCAGGACTGCCTGCACACGGCCTCCTAGGGCAGGGAAGAATGCAGCTCATTTCCCTGGAAGGCTTTCCACCAAGTGTTTAATTGACTTCTGTCTATAGGTAAGAACCATTTGGTCCATATGCCTCTTTACAGTGTTTAGTAATTTCCTGATGCTACCTTTAGCTTTCACAGTACAATACCATAAAAAAAAAATAAATCAGAGTAGCTAAAGGATATTCTAATCACAGAAAAAAGTATTCACTGAAGATAAGAACAAAGGGGGCTGGAGAGATAGCTCCATGGCTGCTTTCCCGAGGATCCTGGTTCAACTCCCAGAATCCGCGTGGCCACTAGCTCACAACCATCTGTAACTCCAGTTCCTCAGGAGTTGATGCCCTCTAACGCCCTCCATGGGTACCAGGCACACATGTGGTGCACAGATATGCACACAGATAAAACACCAATACACGCATAAAAAAAAGACCTTCTTGGATTGAAGAGGTGCATGTTGAAAGTTTGTAGACTTTAATCTTAAAAGCAAATGACTGGAGGACTTGGCTTCTGGCCTGTGTGGGATGATTCACTTTCTGGTAAGCCTCCCCCTGGAGATTTCTGGATGATCAGGTCATGTCCAGCTTTTCTGAGGGTGCCTACGCTGTGGTAGTCAACAGGGTGGAGGGCGAATCTGGCTGTTCTCTGAAATATTCAAAGACCTGGGACATGTCTAAAGTCCAAGTGATTTTATAACCCAGAAAGTGAAGACGGTGAGGGAAGTGGGAAGCTTGCCACACCCAGGGCCTGTTCACTCTGCACCTAGCACACTGTCTCCTTCACCTGAGCCTGAGCCCCGACATCTAAGGCTGCCTGAGCCCTGGCATCCAAGGCTGCTTTCTTGCTGGAGTACTGCAGCTATGGCTGTGGAGAGGAGTTGCCCACTTACCTTCCCAGGAGTCCTTCCACCTGCCGTCTCCCCTCCTCCATACTGGATACAGGTTTTCATCCCATTCATTTTCATCGGAAGACCAGCCATGTAACTGGTTGTGCTCCCTCATGTGACTGGGATACTGCTCATGGCCCAGCACATCACGAAATCCTAGGTTAGTGTTTGAAAAACAGACTTTGTCAATCCCACTACCCGGCACTTCTGTGAGAATGGTCGGTGGCGCTTTTCATTTCGATCATTGGGAAGCACATGCGTAATCTAGCATCAAGTAAAGAAAGGTGCTTGGATGGATGTGTCGGTGCACACTTTTAGTCTCAGCTCACAGGAGGCAGGGACAGGCAGGATGAGGCTAGCCTGGTCTACATAGTGATTTTCAGGCTAGCCAAAACTATATAAGAAGACCCCACCCCAAATGTCTACTGAGGCTGGTGAGGGGTCTCAGCAGGTGAAGTTCTTTGCCACTGAAAATGACAACCTGAGTCCCTTCCCTGGAACCCCCATGGCAGAAGGAAAGCAGCGATTCACAGACCTGTCCAGTGACCTCCACACATTTGTACCCGCCCCCGCCTCCTGCCCAGCACAAATAAGTAAATATAAAAACAAACTAAGTCTACTGAAAGTGTTTTTAGAGAATTACAAAAAATCCTTTATTTTTTTGATGTAGCATCCCACTACATGGCCCTGGCTGTTCTGGGACTCACTATGTAGACCAGGCTGGCTTCAGACTTGCAGAAATACACCTTCCTCTGCTTCCTGAGTGGCTGGGATTAAAGGCATGATCCACAAAGCCCAGCTTTAAAGAGAAAACGTTGGCCGCCACCTTTTCTAAGCTTTCGTTAACATAGAGTCCAAATATTTAGGTTCAGTATTAGTACGAAAAGGGAGCCTTGGATGGCGTTTTCCTCACACACACAGCTTTGCGTCCTTTCCCTCTGGTCTACAGGAACGCAAAGCCTGGGAATGCTCCCGGGAAGCCAAAAGACAAACATGCTACATGGGAGATTCCGTGGTAAAACTCTATGAATACATCATGGTGAGTATTCCATATACATTCGTGGAGTAAGGTATTTGCATCATACCTGGACCTAGGAAGCAGAGACAGGAGGATTGCCATGCACTCAAGGCTAGTCTGGGCTACAGAGGGACTTTGTCTCGAAAACGAACACTCCTGACTCAGAAAAAAAAAAGCCCTTGTATACATTGTGTTTGTTAAATAGAGTGGTTAAAAAAATGTTATTTGACATGGTGGCACATGCCTTTAGTCTCAGCACTTGGGAGGCAGAGGCAGGTGGATCTCTGTGAGGTCGAAACCAACCTGATCTACAAAGGACAGCCAGGGCTACACAGATAAACCCTGTCTCAGAAACCGAAAACCGACCAACCAAGAAATCTATGCTATTCGGATTAGGGTTGTAGATAGTTCTTTATCCAGTTTCAAGTCTTTTAAAATGAATTTGAAGCTCTATTGTTAGGGTATAGCTTCATTTAGAACTAATGATTTCTTGATTAAATTGGCTATTTTTATTAGTAACTAACTCTCTTTGTTCTTGATAATATCCCTTGTTCTGAAGGCTACTTTGCTAGTGTTTAATATATATTATATATAGTATATACATATGTATTTATCTTTAGATATGAAAACTTTTTCCATTGTTTTACTTTTTTCAAAAACGACTTTTTTATGTGCATCTTATGCGCAGGTGTTTTGCTTACATCTGTGTCAGCGAACTACGTTCATGGTGTGGCTATGCTCTGGATTCCAGAAGAGGGCACTGGGTCCCCTGGAACTGGAGTTCAGACAGTTGTGAGGTACCATGTGGGTATGGGGAGGAATCGAACCTGGGTCCTCTGAACCATCTCTCTGGACCCTATTCTCCAGTTCTTTAACGTCTAGCCTGCATATATTCTTATTTAATGTAAGAGGGTTTTTTTTTTGTAGGCAGCACATAGTTGGTTGTGTATCTATAAGTCAAATCTGAAAATCTCTAACTTTTATGTGACTTTTTTTTTTTACTGGCTTTTTACTTCTTTCTAACTTCTATACTGAGATATTTTACATATCATGTAATGACAGACATTCTGCATTTGAGCCTACCATCTTGATTCTTATTCATCTCATCTTCCCCATCTCTCACCCATCCATGATGATGCACTTCCTCTCACCTCATCTACCTGTCTCTCCTTCTTTGCACTGAGACAAGTGGATGTCCTGGTTTTGTGTATGCCCTGCTCTTTCTTCCTTCCTTCCTTCCTTCCTTCCTTCCTTCCTTCCTTCCTTCCTTCCGTCCTTCCTTCTTTCTTTCTTTCTTTCTTTCTTTCTTTCTTTCTTTCTTTCTTTCTTTCTTTTTGTTAGAGGTACTGCATACAGAATTCGGACGTGTGCTTGCCAGGCAGGTAATGCACCCATTAAACAAATTCAACCATCGCTCACCTTCCTGTTCCTTTCTCAACAGAGAGGCAGATACAGTAGGAAATAAGATTGAACTAGGAGTCACGGCACACGGTCTCCGTCATAAATAGGCTCTGTGATCTCAGGCCTTCAAATCAGACAAAACCAAATCAGTCTCAGGACTGTTCCTACCTAGAACAGACATTAATCGAGGAATAGGCACGAGGTTTATCAACAGACGCTTGTAACTGGAAGTTCACTTTGGAGGCATGTGGGGAGGATTAAGCTGCTTCCATTCAAACTTTGAGAGATGAACACATCTAGGTCTAGAGAAATGGGATTCGCCAGGATCCTCTTCAATCCAATGCAAAGGTGGATTCAGCTCCTTTCATGCCCAGAACAATCTCTTCTCACTGTTTCAGAGTCTTTGCCCACAGATTCTGAGGCAGATGCTATCAGAGCAAGATCAGGCTGGGGTATGACCCAGTGGTACAGCGCTTGCCCTGGGTTTGAACTTCAGCACCACCAGAAAACAAAAAACAACAGCGACAAACCCGCACAGACGGCTCTTCTGCTCAAAGTTCAGAAGGCAAAGAAAAATGCAGGGAGCAACTGGGGTGGGGTGGGGCAGCGGGGCGGGGGCGGGGACAGGGACGGGGACCCGGACAGAGGGACAGGGAAGCGAAGAGCAGACCTGTTCAATGTGCCCTGGCAGAGTTCACATGAGACACAAACTCATTCAACAGAGGAGCTGGAGAGATGGCTCACTGGTTAAGAGTGCCAGAAGCACTCACACAGTACTGTAGTTTGAATTTCAGCAGCCATGTCTGGAAGCTCGGAAACTCTCCCGCTCCAGGAGATCTGGTGCCCTCTTGTGGCCTCCACAAGGCACCACCCTCATAATAAAATAACGTCTTTTTAAAGATTTTAAAAAAAGAAAAATAACCCAATAAAGAAAAGATACATTTTTAAAAAGCAGAAAGTAGAGATAGAAATATCAGGATTTACGACTAGACAAAAATTCTTAGATTAACACCAAAAGCATAATCCATAAAAGAAAAAAGACTGATGTATGAGACCTTACTCAAGTAAGAAACTTCTGCCCAGTGGCGTCCAGTAGAAAGAAGTAGAGTGCAGAACACCACACTTCCACTGAGTACAGTGCAGAACACCACACTTCCGCTGATACTAAAAAGCAATTCCAGTTTGAAAATGGGAAAAGACATGAGAGGACACATCAGAGGATGCATAGACATTGAACACTTAGAGGACTGTTGACAGACCCTCCTGCAGACCTATGGGCCACTACCACCAACTGGGCCACCACACACTGCTGGCAGGAACTTGAGAAGGAGCAGCTATCCTACTAAATTCTACTAAGACTGGACATACAGCTAAGTACTATATAACTTGTCCCAATTGTACTCTTTAGTACGAATCCCAGAGAAAAGAACATGAGAAGCCATACCATCTTGACTTGGAATAACTCTGATATCCTTTAACTGTGTGGTACACAGTTAAAGTGGTACTTTATGACCATGGACTGCTACTCAGAAGTGAAAAAGAACAACCTATTTGATACAGCAATGTCAATAAATCTCCAGGGAATCATACTGAGGAGAAACCCCAAGCCAATGTCTAAAGTTCATACTGTAAAATTCCATTGCATGACATTCTGGGAATAATATTATTTCAATGGGCAAACTTCTAGCAGCCAGGGATTGGAGCCAGGTAGAGGAGAATATTTGGCTATAAAAGGGCAGGGGATAGTTGTGACAGCAAGGGGCATGTTCTGTATTTTGATTCTTTCTTTATCAGGATCTTGGTTGTGTTTTTGTCTGGTTTTGTCTTTGGAGAAACTGGGTAAAGCTTGTATCGGAATCTGCTTAATTATTCTTTTAATTTCACATGAGTGTACCATTAGCCTAAAACATAGAAGTTCAACTTAAAACCAGAGAAACCTGATAACAAGCAAACTATAACAGGAAAATGGGGTGCAGGGGCGGAGTGGAGGTAATCCTGTAGTTGGTGGCCTTCTCTTCGCCCCAGCTCCCGGATGCTCTCGAGCTGCTCACTACCTGCTCTGCCAGCTTTTCCTGCCTCTTCATTCCACTCCAGTCAGGACTGCTACCTCCTACAGGGCTTGCTCGGTGTGTCTGGAATGTTTAGTCAATGTTGAGCCCAAGAAGGCCTGGGGCTTTGAGACTTCGATTAAAAGCCTGCCCTCTTCAATTTCTGGCTATTGGTTGGGTTGTGAGTTTTGTTGTTGTTATTATTGTTTTATTTTCTTTTTTTGGGGAGAATAATTGGTTGGATTTTTTTTCAATTTAGGGTCTCACTATGTAACTCAAACTGTCCTAGAACTCACTCTGTGGATTGGCTGGCCTCGGATTCACAGAGACCCACCTACTTGCTTAGCCCTTTATCCAGGCTTTAGCTACTGGTTTATCGACCCTCAAACTGCGGGTGAAAGAACTTTGCTGGCTTTTCCTATTCTTATTCCTCAAAGTTATTATAATTTGTCAGCAGGAGGTACGGGGTGGGGTGGGGTGAGAGAGGGGGAGCAGGGGTGTGTAGCTCTGTCCTTAAAAGTGCCATTGAATGTTTTTTTCTGGCCAAGTACCTTTGCTAGCTGATCTCCACTTTTGCAAACGAGAAAAAGGAAATGTATTGAGGCTAACTCACTCATGGGCCAGCTTAGCAGCTGGCACGAACTCAATTCTGTCCTATCCCAAATCCTGGCAGGAAGGACAGTGGGAGAGATGGCATGCTTCCCCTTCCGCCTGTTCTCTGTGTGACCTGGGCGAATTCCTGGCCGGGTTTCTTATCTGGGGAAACCGGATAATCCCAAAGTCAAATTCCCCTGGCCGTGTGAAGGCACCACATCTAGACACAAGGTGGACCATTCTGTCTGGCACCCTGCTGGCTGCTGTCTCTGTGTTTAAAGTCCAAACCCAGAGATGGAGTCTTAGTCTTAGTCATCACTGGCTTAGAGCATCCCTGACTCGGGGCGCAGCTGCGTTGGAGCTGTGCTGCTTCCCCTCTTGCCTGGCAATACGCGGTGCAGAGACCAAAGCGGTTCCACTCTGCCTGGCCTGGGATCCACCCCAGCCCGGACCGTAAGAGAGGACTCCTCTCCTCTGGAACTACCCGGCAGCCAGCCAGGCGGCCACATTCGGGGTCAGAGAAGGTTCTGCTCCCAGCTGGTCTCTGGCCCCTGGAAGAGAGGTGGAGTGACTCTTCCCCCTGCTCACTAGCTCTGCTAAGGACCGGACAGCTACACCCCGGCCGGGACAAGTGGGCGTGCTGGAGCACGACTCCACCCCGGCTGCGCACAAGGATGATGGACTAGTACGCCCAACTCTGGAAGACGCCGCTGCCACTCACTGGGCAGCGTTGTTAGTAGGGCTCCTGCCATAGAGCCCTCCCAGGGTGGATCCAGCTCACCTTCAGTATCTCCACTAAAGCGGCAGTTCGCCCGGCAGTGTGCAGAGGGTGGAGTGGGGTGGGGGAGTTCTGCAAAGTTAGCCAGAGCCTCATTTAAGAGCTCAGCCCTGGGAGCGGGAACCAGATAAGGGTGGTTTGGGAGACTCTACTCTTGGGGTACAGACTGTCCTCCCCATCCAGCCACAATCTGACCAGAGCGGAAAAAGTTTCCAGTGGCCTCGTGGCTTTTGCTCTCTGTGAGTCCTAAGCAAAGAACACAGTCCCAGCATTTGGAACAGACCCTGTCTGCGGACCCCCAAACTCCAGTCAAGGGTCCCGGCCCATCTTTTGGATCAACGAGTGTAAGCGCCCAGAGAGGACGGGACTCACGCTTGGCCGCCTGGAGCGGCAGTCCTGCAGCCAGCAGCAGAAATCCTAGGACCCCGCAGAGACTTTTCATGCTGACTCCGAGCGAGCGCCCGCAATCAGTCAGGGCTTGACTCCCCAGTCCCATCCACCAGGAGTCACAGTGTCTGCCTCCTGCAATCCGCTCTGTTTTATGAAACACGGAGCCAGTGGAAGATCATGTGATGCTTTAAGCAGTGTGGCTTGATCTCCCGAATTCCACCTCTTAACAACTCGTGCTCATGACTCACTTGCCCCTGGCATCTATTTATTGACTTCGGATGCATGATGTTTTCATTTTGTGAACCCACATTTACTCCTCCCTTCCCCCCTCCATCTTTCCTAGCTTAAAGGGAGCTTTCTACCATCCTGTCCTGACATTCTCCACCAAATGGAACCTGGTCGCTGGTGGACTTTTTGGTTCCTCTTTTATGTCACTTCGATGCTCACACTGAAGCATCTTTCCAGAATCTGGAGAGCCCGCACCTCAGCTAGCATCCCCTTCCCCCAGAAGCAGACAGACCCAAGGCCTCATTTCAGTCAATGTCACTGTGCTGTGCACACATGCATACATGCATACTAACATTGCATGCTATGCCAGAAATTGCAAGTTCGGTAGAGCCCACAGACTTCAAGCAGAGGAGAAATGTACCCCCAAACTAAAGTTTAGGACATACTGACTTGACTCTATAGAACACTCAGAACAAACTGCATCATTTTGGTAATTTCTCTAAAATAGATGCTCAAAGTCACTTCAGGCATCTTGTGGAAAGCACATTTGGTATTGCCAAATAGCAAATACTAAGTGCAAAACCACCCGTGTCTGGAACATAGATGTCACACGAGTAAGTCGTTTCTGGTTGTAGACTGTGGCAATGTGGCCGTGTGACCCTCTCACTGTCAGGGCACATCACCATGACTGTTTTCTGGGCAGGAGAAGTCTTGGTTGTGGTACACAGAGATTTACAGTCCATTGTAATTCAGGGAATGGAGCTCGTGTGGGGAGAAAGCCACATGGGGAAGAACTGGCTTCTGTACAACCACAAAGAAGCAAAAGTCTCCAATACAGAGGAGAAAGTGGAAGATGGAAGAAACTTTTGTGTAATGTAAATAATATACAGAGCACTGTCTGCTTTTTACACACATGTAACCTTTCAATTAAAATTGAATGCTGAGGAGCTGGAGAGATGGCTCAGCGGTTAAGAGTGCTGACTGCTCTACCAGAGGACCTGAGTTCAATTCCCAGCGACCACATGATGGCTCACAACCATCTGTAATAGACTCTGATGCCCTCTTCTGGTGTGTCTGAAGACAGCGACAGACAGTGTACTCACAGAAGTAAAATAAATAAATCTTAAAAGATTAAAATGAACAGTGAGCTCCTTCACTAGGGAGGCAGAGGCATCTGGATTTCTCTAAGTTCAAGGCCAGCCTGGTCCTGTATAACAAGTTCTAGGAAATCGAAGGCTACACAGTGAGTCCCTGACTCAAAAACAAAACAAAAGTAAAGAATCAGCAAAAGCGAGCTTTTGTGCTGGTGAGATTGTTCAGTAGGTAAGGCGTTAGCTGTCAAACTTGACGATCTAAGTTCAATCCCTGGAACCTGCGTGGTGCAAGGAGTGAACTAACTTCGGCAGGTTGCCTTCGCACAAGAGCTGTGGCTTGTGTCGTTATCCCCAACCCCCAAACAAATGTAAAAACCGAAACAACAACAACCAACAAGTTTTCAACTTTGGGCAAACCTTTTGCTAACACTTGAGGCGTTAGTGCCCTTGGCTGCTGACATAGTTCTGGCTTGCATTTTTTGTTAGATGAGTGATCTTTTGTCTTTAAGTAAATTGGACATTAAACTCTTCTGCAGTAAGTCTTAGTTTTGTTTAGGAAGTTGCAACAATTAAATTATCTTTTATTTTGTGCCTTCCTTGCTCCATCAGCAGAGTTGGCAGCCACTAGGGCAGGAGTCAGGTGCTGGAGGTAAACAAGAAATGGGAGTATCATCATCATCATCATCATCATCATCATCATCTTCATCATCATCATCTCCTCCTCCTCTTTCTCCTCCTCTTCCTTCTTCTCTTCCTCCTTCTCTTCTTCCCCTTCCTCCTTTTCTTTTCTCCCCCACATCTCTTCCTCCTCATCTCACTATCCTTCTCTTCTTCCTTCTCTTCCCTATTTTTCCTCTCCCGCCCCCCCCCCCCCCCCCTCCTCGTCCCCCTCCTCCTCCCCCCCCCCTCCAGAGGGCCTAGTTTCAATTCCAGCCCCAACACGGTGACTTACAACCATTTGTAACCCCAGTTCCAGGGATCTGACACCTTCCTCTGACCTACTCAGGCACCAGCCTTGTGGTACACGAACATTCATGAAGGCAATTCACTCATACCTGCAACACTTCAAAAGGAAGTTTATGATTCCAAAGAGCTATACCTGGGACAACCTGCTTTTGACAATCAGAAATTGCCAACATGTGGTCAAGGGTCTTGAGGAGAAGGAATAGTCACACCTTATTTTATCAAAAGAACATCATCTTGTAAAAAAATTGGAATAATTCACTGAAGCATCTGGATTATTAGGCCTTACGTTTGCTCTGCTTAGACATGGTGAAAAGGGTAGCAGGCAGGAGTCACCGTTAGAGAAAGTTCCCCACCAACCTTTCAGCACCTCGGGTGTTGACAGTTGACTCTCCTTCAGGCGGCCACTGTTGTGGTCTTGGAAGCTGTGCCTGGGAGGCGGTGACTGAAGCAGCCACCCCAAGGGATATGCAAAATGACAGACTGAAGCCACATGGGGAGTCACACTGGATCTCGGGTCTGGCCTGTAACTTACTGTACAGCTGAAGGTGACTTTGAACTTCTGATCCTCTTGGTTACACCCCCTAAATGGTGAGATAGCAGGTGTGTGCCACCACACCTATATGGCACTGGGAGCTAACCTAGGCCTTTACGTGCTGGGCAAACACTCTGCCACCTCAGCTTCATCCCAAGTGCCTCCTCAGTTAACATTTCTCTTTGTAAGTTTAGAAATTACTCAGTCTGATCTGGGGTTTTAAAATGAGATCACAAAAACCATTAGCTCTTAGAATATTTTTTTCCTTATGTGTAGGGTTTTGCCTACTTATGTGTCTGTACAGCACACATGCGCCTGTGGTGGCCAGAAGAGGGCGTCAGATCCCCTGGATGACTACAGATGCTTGTGAGCCACCCTGTGGCAAGTACTCCTAACCACCTGAGCCGTCTCTCTTCAGTCCATAGATCTCTAACTCATAAATAGATACTCTTTAGTTTCCTTTAATAAATTGCCAGAACTCTGAGAGTGAAAACAATGAAATTTTATTAACTCACTGCCCTGGCAGCCAGAAGTCTGAAATGAATCTCAGCTGGGCGGAAACCAAGTGTCAGTGCGGCTCCAGTGAGGGACCCACTTCCTAGCCTCTTCTCTAGTCTTTAGTCTTACACTTCCTGGCTTGTGGCCTCCCTCCCTCTCCGACTCCATCAATGGTAGTGGAGTCTTTCTCATATTTTGGTCCTTTGGGATTGATTTCCCTGCCCCACCCCTACCTCACATGACTTACAGGTCCCTTGTTATTTCATGGGGACCCCCTGGATGTTCCAGAACCATTTCCTTTGCAAGGTCAGCAGTGGACAGCCACTTTTGATGCAACCTTCACTCCCCTCTTTAGGTATTTGCCGTGTCACAGATTCCTAGGTCCTGTGGGTTAAGATTAACATCTCTGGGGACCATTACCCTGCACCACAGTTATCCAGCAGATGGCTTGGGAAAAAAATTATAAAGGTGGGCAATGAAAATATTTTGGAAAATACTCCCAAATGTGGCAGACTCATTGAAACCAAGCTTTGCTTGTGGCAGAGTAGGAAGGTAAGAATAAACTCTAGGTAAGGGGGTCAGTTCCAAGAGAGAGGCAGCCCACGTGACTGCCAGACCCTAGTGTGGGCTTTTGCATGTGTCATGAGCAGAGTCACGATTTTCAGATTTAAGCACTAGCAAATGACTAAGAGGCATCTGCTATGCCCAGTTCTCTGCTTTCCCCTGCCCAGTGGCTCTCTGCATGAATGAGTAATTAAAGTCCTTGTTTCTAAGGTTCATTGGGTTTTGAGCCTACTCCCTCCCAACATATTTTTCCTGTATCTTCAAAAAAGGAGAACAAGAACTCACAGGCAGCCATGTCCCTTCACCTGGTTCCTGCCATTGCTGCCTTGCCTGCTCATTATTATATTTTACTTATATGGTGTGTGAGCGCATGCATGCATGTGTGTGCGCCCACATGTGTACGTTTGTGCGTGTGTGCATTGTGTGTGCGTGTGTGCATGTGTGCATCCGTGTGTCACTGTGCATGTGTAGTGATTGATTCTTCTTTTCTACCTTGTAAGTTTCAGGGACTGACTCAGGTTGGCAGGTTTGGTGGCATGCACCTTTACCTGCTGGACTATCAGGAACCTGTGTCCTCTTTTGAGAACACTATTTCTCTTCCATCATCCCTTCTTTCCTTGACAGGGTTTCTATGTAGCCTAAGCTCCCAGACTCTTTGCTTTAACCTAACTGCTGAGATTCCAGACATGTGCCCAGCATACCCAGGTGACAGGACTGTTGCCATGGAGATTAGGAGGAGGACATGGTCTCCCTCTTTTATTGACACCCTCTCCACACAGCTCCCTGTTACATTATTTTAAAGCCAGTCCTAACCATCATCACTGTGTAGATTTCAATGTAGCCATGTAGATAGATGGTAGGACCGTGGGAAGCTGGAAGAAGGGCAGATATGTTTCTAGACAAAGGATGAACTGGTTCTCAAATCATGCATTGAATTGGCTAAAGCCTAAACACACATGGAAAGAGCGCAGCCAGGCTGGAGAAGCTGTACGAACCAAAGACTTCATTCTTCCGAGTCAGGGTCTCTTGAAGCCGAGGCCAGCCCAGGGCTTGGTATGTAGTTGAGGATGTTCGTTCTTGAACTTCTGATCCTCCTTTTTCTGTTTTTCCAACACCGAGATTATAGGCTTGTGCCACCACATCCAGTTTTCTCTGGTGCTGAGGGATTGAACTCAGGGCTTCCTATATACTAGGTAAGCATTG